AGCATGTAAAAGTCAAATGAACACATAATAGTTAATTAATTAATAACATATGGATGAAGGGGAATGATTGCAATAATGGTCCTTGAATATAACGCATTGTCTTAAATGCCTGCTATACTGATATGGTTTTGATAAATGCAATAAGAAGTAATATGAGGCAACATGTTCAATACGGGCTGCTGAATGAATGGACTTTTAGTTTGACATAAATACTTCAAATCAAGCTTAAAAGTATATTACAGTTATTTACAAACAGAATGCTAAGGCATGCAGTTGAGAACATCAAAGGTTACAACACAACGTGTGTCCCCTCTCGTTAAAACAAAAATACATGGCTAAAATGTGATGCTCACAGGTTACTAAATTAAAAACATGAAAAGTACTAATCACAGGATTAAAGGAGAAGTTCATGAGATCTTTGGCCACGAGGTATAGGCATAGTTGTGATGTGATGAAGAATAGAACAAAGCATTTGGTGGTTGGTGGGTCTCAGTTCTGCGAGGTAAGTGCCCATACACATAACAATTGACTTACTACGAATAAATAATATTTTTATACTATAAACAATATACAATTACAGGTTTTGGCAACAGTCACTAGTGGATGAGGAGTCATCAGCTCATTTGCACAGATTTTCTCCCCTTTTCCGTTTCCCCCTCTTTCTGGCAGTCCGTCTAAAGCTTGCGTTCCTCTCTACATACCCACACAAAAATGAAAGCAGTCTTGATAAATACATAAGCTTATCCACACAGGACTGGAAGGGACGGGCAAGGTGGGGCAGCCATGACCCCAAATCAGTACGGCAGGAACTCGGAGTCACCTTCAGTCCTCTGCATGTCCTCGGCGGCCGCGGCTCCAAGCGGCTAGTATTCCCTGCCCCTTCTGTGCGTTGGGCTGCTCCTGTGCGTGTGCAGGGACCCGCTCCCCGCGCGGTAGTGCGTCCTCCGCCGGATCTGGCTGCCCTCCTGAGAGGACGACGACGAGGAGGAGGAGGAGGAGGACGGCGAGAATGACGAGGATAGGGAAGTACCCGCAGAAGTGCTTAGCGTGTTGGGCCCGCCGAAGCCGAGCGCATGACTCGGCCGTGACTGCCAGAAACGATTGTGCTGCATTCTGCTCAGCTGCTGCTGCTGCTGCGGCCGGGTGCGGGTCTGCTCCAGGCTCCAGTACGGCGCCGAGGCCAGGGGCGGCCAGTACACGTCCTTGGGAAAGACAACGGGCTTGTCCACGGGCAGACGGTTGGCGTCGCCGCCGCTACCGCCCACGCCTCCGCGGCTGGTCGGGAAGGTGACATCGATGGCCGGGAACCTCAGCGGGCTGCTGGGCCGTTCCGTGGGGAAGCGCACGGCGTGGAGGTCGTGGGGGATGACGGGCAAGAGGCTTGGCCGCAGCAGGTTACTGCTGGACGGCCGGCTCTCATCGCTTGACGACCAGGAGGCCGTGCTCGTCGTGGACGAGAACGGCTCGCTGGTCGTGCTCACGGGAGGGGTGCTAGTGGAGGTCGCCGTTGACGAGCTGAGCAATTCCAGCCCGGAAGTCACCGGAGAAAGCGAGCTTGGTGAGACCAGCTCTTCGTGGACTTCGGCGTTGCTGCTCGAGGACAGCGTCGCGTCCGTCGTGGAAGAGACGGGCACCGGGAGCTCCGAGGACGGCGATGCGGTTGAGTCTCGGACTGGTGCGACAGTCGTCGAGGATGACATGGCCAACTCGGCGGTTTCTGGCGCTATCGTCGAGCTGCTAAAAGTCAGCTTCATCCCCAGGGCGGCTGCCAGGAGCTGCTGCAGCGACGAGGCTTCGGCTACCAGTCTGTTCGGGTTGGAGTTGGGGTTGGAGATTGGAGGCACCTCTTGCACCATCGACTCGCCAGTCACGAGCGGAGAGTTGTTCACCTGTAGAATGCGGGCAGGCGTTAGAGAATTGCAGTCGCAAAGAAGGGCGCAAAGAAGGGCGAACAGGTAGTGGAGCGAAGCAGCTTCAACTTCAATGAGGACTCACCGTGTTGATGATGGGATTCACGTCGCCATTGCCGGACTGGTTGGAGGCGGGCCGGACGGGCCTGCTTGGGGCAGCCTCCGTCGTGGAAGTGGCGCCGCCGTTGACTAGATAAGCGCCGACCTGCGCCGCGGGCGCGGGTACAACGTGGGGCTGCTCCTCGGAGGTGAGCATCACCACCTCGGGAATGAGGGCGTCTCGGATGTCCTCCGGAGCAGCTGGTGTTGGTGCGGGTGTCTCCGTGTCTTCGTCGGACGGGGACGGTGTGGTGCTCGCCGCCTCCTCCTCCACCTCCGTCGCGACCTCGGTCGCCTGCTCCGGTGTGCTTTGCTCAGCGAAGGGTGACTCGGGCTTCGCAGGTTCCGGCGTAGAGGGACCGTCAGGGACAGGTCCTTCGGGGGCGGGCCCATCGGGTGTGGGGGCGTCGGGGGCGGCGACATCGGGGGCGGCGACATCGGGCAGGCCCGCGATGGGGATGGCGAGCTGGAAGGGTCCCGGGGGCGGCCCGGGAGGTGTCGTTGTCTCCGTCAGCAGGGGGAAGGGAAGGTCGGCGAACTGGTTGTTGAGCTTGTCAAGCAGCAAGTCCCAGGACTTCTCCGCGTCGACCTTGACCACCTTGACGCACCGGCCCATGTCATCCTGCTGGTACCCTGTAAAAGGAGGCGCAAGTTAGTCATCGCAGTCTGATTGTAACCGAGAGTCTCAATCAGCCAGCCGAGCTCGGACTCACCCTCGGCGCACTGGTCCCGGTCGCCGTTGATGTTGGGCGCGATGAACACGGACTTGGGGGTGATCCTCCTGGTGACGGTGCCCGCCGGCATGGGGTCGGAGCCGGAGGAGGCCGGGTCCAACATGAGGAAGGCGTACCGGTCGAGCTCCGACTCGGCCAGCTCGCCCAGGGTGCGGCCGCCGATGCCGGCGCCCAGCCCGCCGCCCAGCGAGGCGCCCAGCACTGTCGACGCCGGCCCGCCGCCGCCGCCGCCCCCGTGCGCCGCCGCCCCCGGGGCCCTGCCGGGGGGCGGGGCGCGCCACGCGGGGGCGGCGCTCGCAGACATGGGGGCGGCCGAGCTGGCAGCGAGCGCGCCGAGAAGCAGAAGTAGCGGTGGCAGCAAAGTCATAGCAAAATTCACGTCGTAGTCACTCGACCGCCTCGGCAGCCAAGGCCCAGTGCCGCCAAACGCCATACGAGGAGCGCGTCGCCACCTGGAACAGAAAGACACAGCGGGGTCAGCGCCTGCAGCGTAGGCCACCCATTCAACTCCACCGCCTAACGGCCCGCGGGGGAAGGCCGCAAGGCACCGCACTGCGGGCCCGCCGCGGGCAAATGGACCGACATGCACAATGCGTGCCCACAAAAAGAAAGGAAAAGGGAGGGGGGGGGGAGAGAAAAATAAAAGGACGAAAATCCGACTCGAAAGTCGACCCTGCAGTCATCCAATCAACTCTTTGTGCGAACGTTAACGCCCATTACTTCCTTGGGAGTTCGCG